TTTGAGAGAAATACAACAAAAAATGGATACAAAATTTTATATGATTCACCAATTTAGGCCACATTCACAGTCATGTATAAAAGGATTTCACTATAATAAGAAAAAAATTGCAATAACATTCTCTCTAAACACAAGGAAATAACAACTAATATCTCTCATAATAGGAGAAATTGTGTAGAAAACATTAGGGAGAAATTAATATATTTCTCTCTAGAATTATGTATCATTCTATTAATTATTTTTTTACTCCACTGTATTTAGCAGATAACTCAATGCTTTCAATCCCTCTCTACAAAATTGGACGTGTTATCTTCTGCTTCATCCTCTATCTATAGGGAAATTTGCCACCTACCTTATTAATTACGAACCAAAATTTCATTGGCTGCATTTCCTTTAACTTCACGACTAATGATTGAAAATTCAATCTTTAGCATTAAATGCAAAGGTGGCTATTTAATGCATGAAGAAGCCAACGCTAAAATAAAAGTGGCTTTAGTAGCCAACGCCAATATAGAGTTTTGCTACACGAACATAATGCTTGACATAGGGGATGACACAACACACACATGGGAAGGTCGGGACCCACATGCAATGTGAGTGGTCGGTCAACCCCTATGTCAAGCATTATGTTCATTTAGCTTAATTCATTGAAATCATACAATATGGTATTTCATGAAACTGTACACACCTTTCCAAGATGGGCATCGACCACCCTTGAAGAGAAAACAAAAATACCCCAGTATGTCAGCTTCAGTAACACGTGTACTATACTTACCTTTAAATGCAAAATAGTACGCAATGCAAAAGGATAATTTATAGGAAAATACAGTTTGCACATAACTATTTACATAATATTTTACATAATGATGAGGTTTCAAAATATAAGTGGAGAAATTATTTGATTGATGAGATTTTGATCAAATTAAATCCCGACACATCATATGTTGTTAAATCATTATGTAAATTTTTTATGTACATGTAGCACAATCATAATTCACAGTACATGCAAAATGAAATATGGCTTACAGCTTAACACGTACAAGTAGTTATTCCAACAAAATATAACATGTGGAGACTTTATACAAATATGCAATTGGAAAAAGTGGAATGCAATTTTTAATTATGCTTGACTTATAATGTAACTCCAATGATGATATAGAGAAACTGAATTTGAGTCAATCATCGTGGGTATTAAAGAGACTTCTATACTTACTAAAAAATTTATATTTAAGGGCGTGATAATAATTTATCGCCTAGGGCCGACCCTGTGAACTCTCATAATCGACTAACATGTTTCGCTTACTAATTGGTCAAATTTGATCAAAACCAGCATTTTGAACCAATTTTCAGTAGATGATGTAACCATATAATTTCAGCATAATAGCTGAACTTCTGAACTCTGCCGCAGTACTAGATTCAAGATAGTTTTCTGCTTTTTGGAATTCCGGCTGACTATATTATCTCCCAAATGAACACAAAAACCAGAAATTGAATTTCTACTATCAGGATCATATGTGTAGTCAGCATCTGAGAATACTCTAAGGAGAAAATGTGTTGTTTTATGAAAAATCAATAGTGCATTTTACGTACTTTAGAATTCTTTCAACAGCCTTACAATGAATATCATGATGAGATTGCATAAACTGATGTACTTTATTGACTTAAAATGCAATTTCTGGTCTTGGTGATGTAATATGATGCAGAGCTCCTATAATTCCAGTAACGTCTTTTAACCCAGCTTAGGTTCCTCCAGAAACCCTTTTCACTTTAAAACCCCATTTACACCCACTATAGGTCTGTTGGCAGGCAGAGGAACCAAATTCCAAGAGTTTTTTTTTTTCAGTAATGAACTATCAGGTTACTTATCTAGCTGTAGAGAGACACTAAAAGATTGTTACCCCTTGTCACACCATAGCATGCTGTTTAAAGCTCTCTGCTAGATTTCCTATAGAATCATTTGATAAGTTTTCACTCATGTGCATTAGGAGAGAAATCAAGTACTTATGTTGTTTCAGGTTTAACGTTTGACAAATGAGATAGACTGTTAGATGTGCAAGAAGGCTGAGATGCAGCTATGGTTTTATTTGATGGCATGGCCAGTGGAGTCAAGGTGTAACGTGAATGTGTTGAATCCATTAATGATGAATAATCAGGTAGCTACGTGGTTAATGCAGTAAAGGAGAATTAATGTTCATCGAATTTGACATGCCTAAAATGTAAGTCTCCCAGTTGAGGATGGGCATTTGTATGAGGTGTGCTTTAGGTTATAACCTAAGCCCGTCTGGGAGCGCTATTTAACTCGAAAAATTGATTTTTTGCACCGTCACATGGGTCCATGGGTGGATGCAGGGGGTGGCCTGGGGGGTCACGTGACCCCCCAACTTCGCTCCCTTTTTTTCACCATTAAATTTTCTATGTTTATGTTTCAATTTTCGAAATCATTATGGGATGTAAAACGAAATCAAAATATTGCATTCTTAATACCATTTCGAAGTACACATGGTCTAGTTTTCTACGTCGTTAATGACGTACAAAACTATCAATCGTAGCAAAATGTTACGACTATTCAAAGTAAGCCGTTCGAAATTAGTATTTCGAAAATTCGATAACATGCTAACTTTAAAAATTTTCCGACAATCTTACGCTAATCGAATATACAAATTGCTTATGTCATCTCAAAACTTATTTTGAGAACTACATTATATGCATATCGAATAGTCCAAAAAGATGTCGAAAATAGTTAAAACAACGTTAAACATGCATCTTAAATAAATGTGTCTAACTCGCATTTTTTTGAAAAAAAATTCAATTATTTCATTTACATTTTTATTTTTACGATACAAATTTCTCAATATAATTTTCATCATTTTATTAGAAAATTTTATATGGAATATGACATCAAAACTTTCGAAATTTTACATCCGAAAAAGTCATATCTCATGTAAATTTTCGGATGCAAAATTACATGTGGTATGATTTTTTGGACGTAAATTTTTTATTATAAAATTTTTTCCAACTTCTTTTTAAGTTCGATTATGCCCACTTAACTTTAGCCTTCTGCGTCTGACCTATCACTCACTGGGTGCCCTTCTAAATTTTTTATGCAATGTTAAGTGTACCATAGTCAAATCATTATTTGAATTTTACTCCCAATGCCTATTTTACCCTTTTTATATTAAAAATAACAACTAATCCAGCCTTCAACCACTTTTTTTACTAATTCAAAGGGTAATAATGAAAAATTACATGAATTCAATAAATTCAGCCACCTTTTTTGACTGAACTTGCTGGGGAACCATATAGAAATAATGGAATAAAAAATTTAACAAGCATATTGGTTTCTATCAAAATCTAATAAAATCCAAAAATAAAATCGATACTAGACGGGCTAAATAGGTACAAGTCTAAGATGCATACTCCATTTTGTGATAGTTGCATGGTCTTGGGCACGGAAAATATGTACACTGATACACTCTGAGGCTGTTATACCAAGTTTAATTGGATAGTCTTTCTAATGGAATCTCTCCCTTGAGAGAAAGAGTAGACAATCCATTAAGTAGATAAATTGAAGCAGAAGAGGCTTCGCCCAAAATGAAGTTCGCATGGTGAGTTTTGACCTTTTTTTTTTTAATGAGAAAATGTAATACATTGGGAAAATGAAAAGTAGGGAAAATTGGAATTGTGCCTTAATTTTATGATTATATTATTTGTAAAATTTTGACATGGACAAACTGTTTAATAATTCGAATAATTCTAATATTTTAAATTAGTGAATGGTGTTTGATATTTTATTTTATTTTATGTTAAAATTTATCATTCTAAAAAAAAATTGATAGTTCTTTTTTTCCTAGTTATTATTGCATTATATTTTTTTTATAACCAGACTATGCTGTTTTAGTTTTGTTTAATGCTGAAAGTTCAAGTTGTATTTGATTGATTTGTGTATCTTCTACGAAGTGTTCAGATTGCATAGGTTAAAGATTTAGCCTCCATTTGGCAAATTACAAATGATTTATAAAGATGAGGATGGTAATAGTGTCACGAGTTGCCTTATGCGTAAGATCACGCAGTTAGGCTCCTCCAAGTATATGGTTAAAAGCCTTGTTTTTTCAAATATATAATTTCTATTCTTTGCTACTCTCATTTGTTACATTCATTATTCATATATCTGCCGGAAGTCTAATGCCCTTTTTCTTTGTCTTTAATATCTCAACCAATTGAACCCGAGAACAGGTCAACATATGAATGTATTATAGAATAGAAGTTTAATCCTTCTCTGACTGTGAGTGTAGGGATCTTCAAAGAATTTGCCTTGATCATGCACTTAAAAATGAAGCTAAGTTTGGTAAGATCATTTTGCTTGATTAGAT